ACAACTGTCTGGTTTGGTTCTGCAACCCAACAAGACAGACACGGACTTCAGAGGATAATTAGAACTGCAGAAAAAAACAATTATTGCCAATCTGCCTTCCACTGACGACCTGTATACTGCATGAGTCAAAAAGAGGGCTGTGAAAACTTGCAGCCTGGACATAAATTGTTTCAACTCCTACCCTCAAAACGATGCTATAGAACACTGCACATCAGAACAACTAGACACAAGAACAGTTTTTTCCTGAACTTTGCTAAACAAATAATTCCCTCAACACTGTCAAACCATTCACTAAGTCTGCATTACTATTACTATTAGTCTTTTCATCGTTCCTATCACCCATCTCCTCCCACTTATGACTGCATGACTGTAACTTTGTTGCTTGTATCCTTGTGATTTATATTGATAATGATTGTTTCCTGATTGCTTATTTGTACCCTATGCCTATCATTAAGTGTTGTACCTTGTGATTCTTGACGAATGTATCTTGTCTTTTTATGTACACTGAGAGCATCTGCACCAAAGATAAATTCCTTGGGTGTCCAATCACACTTGGCCAATAAAGAATCCTATCCTACCCTATCCTACTCTACTTTGCCAAATGGTTGAGTCCCTGAAGAATATGGATATAGGGGATAGAAAAACAGTGCTTAATCTCTTGTACTAATTCTCACAAAATACCATTACGTTGACTCCACCCATTGCAGATTATTTTTCAATACTCTTGATTTGTCAAATACAAGAATTCTCAACTAGTTTGAGCCAGTAGGCACAGTTTGAATTTTGAAAACAGATCCAAGAATTCTCTCAAAAGGGCCTTTGCTTCTGTTCTGAGTTGTGCTCCCCCCCCCCGACATCTGTTTTCCCCCCTCTTCCTTTGTACATGATTAAGTCTCTTTCTATTAAGCTTCTTTTAATTAAGCCTCTGGCTTCTGCTCCCATTTTTCTTTCTTTTAGTAAAATAAAAGAAAAGCGATCTGATAGCACTGGGTGCCTTGATTAAAAAACAAAACCATAACCAAACACATCAATAGTAAGTAGTACTTCATGTAGAAACGGTTACACTGATTTTCCCAAACGTGCTTTTTCTCAGAGCTGAAGAAACTTCTCAAATGAGAAGCGAAACGACTTCAAAGAAAAAACAGAAAGTCCAGTTGTCTCTTGAAAAAACATCTCTGGGACAACGGCTGACCTGGATGACTGAGAATTCGCCATAGATATTCCGTTTACCACGGAATGCTAGAATTAAAAAATAACTGCACAGTTAAAGTAACATAGTACAATCATTTTACTTTGCAGACTTATAATTTGCCATGATTTAATAACCTGTAGTAGTAAGCCTTTATCTCTGAGAGTAAAATACAGAACTAGAGCTTATGCATTGTCTTCCAACCCCTGGCCAGACTGAAATTGACTGAACCAGAGTTGCTGTTGCAACAGAAAGGTTTGGTTCTATTTTCTTCACTCACAGTAACAAGAGACAAATTATGAATGTGGAAATACTCAAGAACAGTATGAAGAAAGATACAAAACCCTGGCTTAAAAAGATGCCTTAGTCTAATACTAATTCATCGCTCTACACCAGGGGTGTCAAACTCGGTTTCATTGAGGACCGCATCAGGGTTGTGTTTGACCTCAGGGTGGGTATGGCCTGGGTGGGCATGGCCAGCTTGATATCACTCGTGTCAGGGGCACCTGGGGTGGCCCAAGTGCTCTGCCAGAAAAAACAGGCACCTAAGCTCCATTTTTGGCTGTGACGGCCTCTTGCAACTTTCTGCCAGAGAAAACGGAGCTCGGAAGGGCCGCCTGTGGCCCTCCCGAGCTTTGTTTTCACTGACAGAGGCACTGTGGGCTGGTCCATCACTGTTGCCACGGATCTAAAAAATCCAGCCTCCGGGCCTTTGAATTTGACACCCCTGCTCTACACAATGTTAGTCACCCAAAGACAGATGGTTTGTAGAAACTCAGATTTTTTGAGCAAGTCAACTTTAATGGGAATGCATCATTTATGAATAATACCCTATTGCAGGGGTGTCAAACTCAATTTCACCGAGGGCTGCATCAGCATTGGGTTTGAGCTCGGGAAGCGGGGTGGGGATGGCCAGCTATATGTCACTTGTGTCCGGGGTGTCTATGGTACAGTGGTGGTTTCAAAAAATTTTGGAACCTCTTCTGTAGGTGTGGCCTGCTTTCCAGGTCCACTGGTGGAACCTCTTCTAACCGGTTCGGTAGATTCAACAAACTGGTTCTACCGAATAGGTGCGAACTGATAGGAACCCACCTCTGCCATGGTAGCTCGAGAGCTCTGCCAGTGAAAATGGGCTGTTTCCAGGGTGACCTTACTGGTCAGATCTAAGCACCCCATGGGCTGGATCTGGCCTCTGGGCCTTGAATTTGACACCCTGCCCTATTGGTTAATATCTATGATGTCATTGCTATCTCTTTCACTATTTCCATAAGTTGTTGCTTTTTTAAAAAAGTGAAGGATGCCTGAGCATTGCACTAGAATGCTTAATTTACTAATATGTATATCTACCATAAGGTTAGAATGTTTGACTTATTTCTAAGATGAAGAATCAGTGATGAATGTTTGCAAAATCTTACAATTGTGACCCAACTGAGCAGCTGGAAGATGGCATGTGATTTCCAATATGTCCTGGTACCAGGAGAATTGTTGGGTTGCAGAACCACGAGGCAACTTCTGCACCTCAGACAAAGAACAGCATTTGTATCCAGCTGCTTGTTTGATAGCTGTAGTTGAGAACACAACAGCCAACAAAGAACAAAAAGAAAAAGAAACCAATTCTTGTAAATGGATGAATTCATGTTACATGCAAAATCAGAGCCTTTAGTGTTCACAACACAATAGGAAGTCCTATCCACTGGGTGGTAATAAACACAAATGTCAGACAAAGATTCATCATCAAGGATGTAGTTGGTGTTGAAATATTTCAGGGAGATGTGTTTTATTATTACTCTCAAAGGTGGAACTAATGGAAGATTAATATTCTGTAGTCTCAGCAGTCTAATTAGGCTACAACTAGCAGTCTAATGATTGCTGGTTCATGTTATTATTGCTTGAAATAATGTAGAAGATTGTAAATTGTATGTTGACTAATGGAATGAATTAAGTGATGAAGGAAGTTAATGTCTGGAGACCAAGGGTTGCACTTAAATTTGAACGGTATGTCAGATACTACATTTATAAAGGCAGTAGGCAATTAAATTACTTTTCACTTTTATGTGTTTAATTATTTTGAGCTTCCATCCTATTATTAGTGGATACCAATGTTTTTTATCCTATAATTTGTTACAGTGCTTCAAGTTTTGGGGATGCTGTGACCTAGGACAGGGGTCTCTGCAACACCCAAAGAGCCATTTGGACCCATTTCCAACAGAAAAGAAAAAACAGGGAGCCACAAAACCTGGTTGGGCGTGGCCAATTCAATGTCACTCCCACCCAGTCACATGACACCCCTCAGTCACACCTACCCAGGTTTTGTGGCTCCCAGTGTCTTCTGTGAGAAATGGGTCCCTCTCCCTTTCTTTCCCTCCATCCCTCTTTCTTTCTTTCTTTCTTTCTTTCTTTTCCTTCCTTCCTTCTTTCCTTCCTTCCCTCCTTCCGTCCGTCCGTTGTCCTAGGACATCATACCTGGGCTGAAAAAATCTTAGATGGAAGCAAAGCA